TTGCATCACAAGTGGTGGAGTGTGTTCGGTGATCTTCCGTCCTCTTCCAGCCAGCCCGCTGTGCCTCCTGGAGTCCACCTAGGTTGTCGTCTGTGCCAGGTGTTCGGCAATATGCCTCAGGACAAGCCAACCGGCGCTTCTGCATCTACCTCGACGGCCCCGGCTACCGTGGCCTATCCATCGTGGATTATCACCACGCACCAGCGTGAGCCACTTACATTCGCCGGACTTCGAGGTGAAGATGTGGAGGATTGGTTGGACCGGTTCAATCGAGTGAGTTCCACTAACAACTGGGGTAATCCTACCAAGCTTCGCCGTGTTTTTTTTTATTTGACAGGCGTAGTGAAAACATGGTATTTCAATCACGAAACAGACATCACGGACTGGACACATTTCAAAAAACAGCTGCGCCAAATTTTTGGCACCCCGGCGGTTCGTTCAGCTCTCGCGAAGAAGACACTGGATGCTTGCAAGCAACAATGCGGTGAGTCTTACACCTCGTACATAGAGGATGTGCTTGCTCTCTGTCACCGTTTCAGCACGTCCATGTCTGAATTAGAGAGAGCTCGTCATGTATTGAAAGGGATCGGCACGATAACGTTCAATGCCTCTGTCATACAAAACCTGACCACAGTCGCTGACGTTGTTGCCACGTGCCAACGCCTAGAGGAACTTGAGTCCCAACGGTTACCGCCGGACAGCGCTGAAAACACCACCATGACTGATGCATCATTGCGTGCTATGATCTGACCGATTATACGGGAAGAGCTGCAATCTTCCGGCCTCTCAACGACACCAAGTCCACCTCCCCCCTCCAACACTGCTTTGCGCGACGTTATCAAGGAGGAGTTGGCGTCCATGACCGGGCCAGCGTATGTAGACTCCCTGGTATCTCGACTCCAGCCGACGTACGCACAAGTCCTCGCTGGTTCACCACCCGTCATACAACCGATGCCCGCACACTCGACGCCTTCCCACTGGCTTCGTTAACGCCGAGTGCGCCTAGACAGCCCTTGCACCCATCATGGCGGCCACCTCGTCCGATTTGTTATTACTGCGGCTACTGAGGCCACATTGCACGCTTCTGTCGGAAGCGTCAGCAGGACGAGCGTCGTGGATTCGACCCCTACAGACCGGATGATGGGATCAGCGGGTCCGCTTTCCAACGTCGTCCTTATGATCCACCGCTACATCGCTCACAGTCTCCAACGGCGACATCTGAGCCAACCTCTTCCTACCGCTCTACTAGACGCCGTTCACCAGCACCCCTCCACCGCTCCACGTCTCCATTGCGACCGGTCTCGCAATTTACCAACCAACACCCGGAAAACTAACCTTTGCAGCTTTTGGAGGAAAAGATGCATCGAATGAAAAGACACAAAATTCCTCCTTTGCGTCCATATAATATGATATCTGTTTTAATAGAAGGTGTGTACGTGGACGCTTTCATAGACACTGGTGCTTGTTTGTCTGTGATTGATGGTTCCTTGTACTTACGTCTGCGAAAGGTCACCACCCTTTATGATGGACTTACACTGCTTGCTGCTCAAGGGGACGCCAATAGACCTTCCGCTATGTGCGCCGCTCCTGTTTTCATAGCTCGCCTTCGCCATTTTGTGCAATTTGCCGTGTTAAGTTCATGTGCCCACCAGCTTATATTAGGCTAGGATTTTCTGTCTACTGCGAACGCTTCCATCTGCTGTCCTTATGATCCGCTGCTACCTTGCTTACCATCTCCAACTGCGACATCCGTTCATATGATGGAAATATTGTTCATATGATGAAAACTGACTATACCCTTTGCGCGGATGAAAAGCCGTTCGCTTGCTCGCTGCAGAAGATACCGAGCTACCACCTGGCCATCAGCGAATATTTACCATCACTTCTCATGTGATCGACCCTGGTGACGTGTTTGTCCAACCATCTGCACTCTGTCTCGCAAGAGGTATAGCCCTTGCTTCAGGTCTAGCGTGGTTCCACAATGGCTACGGACTTCTCTACGTTACAAACCAGACGTCTGGGAAAATTCTCATTCCTAAAGGCACCACAATGGCTTGCGTTACCGAATGCCAACCTGTCTCTGTTGTGCCGCTTATGCCAGCGTAATCTGACCTTCCTTCTATTGGACGTTTATCATGCGTTTCTGTTCTTGCTGCGACTATTAGTTTAGAGCTGACCTCTTCACAAACATATGAGTTGCTTGCCTTGCTACAAAAGCATGAGAGATTGCTTGACGCCCATTCCTCATATCTGGGACAGACGTCCATTATCAAGCATCGTATCCAGACCGATGGCACTTCCATCGTACGCCGTCGACCATATCGCGTCTCTTGGATCACAATATATATAGTTTGTCAAAAATTCATGAACATTACCTCATTGGAAGCGTATAAGGAATATTTATATAAAATATTAAACATCCAGCCTTGATGTCACCTATCGTTTGTGTATAAATGCTACTGTAAATCAAACATACTCATTCTGATAATTCTAATGTTACACAGGAAACCGCACCTATGCCGCTGCTCTTGGTAAGCTATGTTAAATTGGTTTAGACCGTGAAGAGGCACATTGTTTTATAATGGACAAAGCAGTAGGTGTGTTTCACTTCGTCAATGCCAAGGAGAAAATATTCATGGACCAATTCGGGTGCCCCTGTCAGTTACCACAATTATTGCAATGCATTGGTAGCATGCTCAAATGTACCAACCCCTTTCGCATAACAGTTGCAAATTAGAAAGCATGCCATCTTATCTGCGGTAGTATTAACAACAATTTATTCAGACATCCTATTTTACTGATTTCACATACAGTGATTTTATAAATAACGTATCAAAATATGCATGAGATTTGAAAAAAAACATAACAGTGTCCCCTTATCTGTATCAAATTGTGGAGCGGAATCCTGGCTGCCTGCGAAAACGACTTAGCTTAAATGAAAGGATAATTAGAGGGCATTGAAATTAAAATATATAGTCGCATTATCCGAGGACATACACAGAACACAGTGAATGATGGAACTACCACATTAGGGAATTTTTAGGTGAAATTTCGAATAGGCATAGTGAAGGCATGTAGTACAAAGGCAAGAAAATTGCTCGTATTAAAGTTAAATTCACACCGAAGGTGGCGCGTCACAGCGGCAAAGCGAGTTTTTTGAAACGACGAGGCGTCGAGTGCGTCAACCTGTTCAGATTTTCCGCCTTCTGTGAATTGCCGCGCGGCAGAATAGGCGGGCATATTGCGCTTTTGCACACGTGTCCCTGTGACGTGTCAGCGCGTCTTTTAAACGTACGCCTGTGCTACCACCACGCGCCCGTGTCGTGGCATTCTGATTGGCTGTGGAAGCGATCGCTCTTGCCGCCTGGTTTTGCTTCCGCTTTAGCCGCCTGGAGAGGAGGTTTTTTTCGCTTTTCACGTTGCCATAATTTTTCGCTTTTCGCTTTGGCCGCCCCGCCTTCGGCGTGAACCAGCCTTAACCGTGACAAAGAAGAGTGGACGAGTGGGGAAACGCATGAATTTGATCAGCTTACTATTTTAACGTGATAGCGTCAGAGAGCTTGTGTCGCAGAAAACCCGCCGCTGGCGTCGTCCCCGTTGGTTGTGAGCGAAAAATCGTTTGTGCGCCTGTGACCGAAAAATCAAGTTAACAAGATAGCCGTGGGAGGCCGCTGCTTGTCCACGCGGTCGCGGGCACGTGGATCAAGGTCACGAGGTGCGGTAGCTTCTTTGCCCTGCCACCCCTTCCTGCTTAGCTTCCAGCGCTTTGGTCGGGACGAGAGAAGACATAATGCAATTGAAGCATGCGACAGACCTTCATAACTCCACTCGCACTGGACGGATTTCTAAAATATTTGCGGCGTTTAATTCGTGAGCTAGTAAGGTCTTCGAGTGAATTCATTTCATGGTTACTTGAAAAAGTCTTTTGAAAGCTTCTTTAGCGCATTTTGTTCGACAGGTGTCACGATGAAAACGAGTCCATTCGGCGATAATAGCGTGCGCTGCCCTAATTTACTGTGTACGTGTTTGTGTGCGTGCATGTGTACGTAACAAAACATATTATTAAGTATGCCCTTTGTGGTTGAAGGGTGCACCAGGGGCCGGATTTCGCTATCGTATTCAACTCTTAAAGGAGAACCTTAAGGGTCCCCCAATTTTTTAGGAACATCATGTGGGCAGATAAGCTTTTTTAGTGTAGAATGAGGCCACAGAAAGTGCAAGTTCGCATTATTGGGCGAGATGTGTGAGCTGCCTTTGCGCGGCCGTAGACATGATAAATAAAAAGAAATGATGCAGAATGTGAGTCAAAGGATTACATACCATTGCAATATCATGAACTGCAATCATACCCGCAATAAATCATGGGTAAATTGATTACGCCTGTAATCAGCAGTGTGTCACATCTTTAGCTCTAGAAGGCAGTGTATTGCCAGAAAAGACAACACTTGGAAAACAAGCTAGCTTTTGAAGTTTGACAGACTCGTGATTTTCTACAAATTGGATTTTATTCTCGGCGGCTGGACGTTGCGCTTCTCGTCTAAATGGCCACATCATCCTTATTTTTACCTGAACATTTTTTAGATGATTACATTCTTGTATTTAGGCCAATATTGCGTCATGGAATGTCACAGTTTGCTTGCGAGTTTTACTTGTATGGTGAATGATTCTGCTCAGCAGAGTGGTAATTATTTGACAGCAAAAACAACAGCAGCTGTGTGCATTATCCATCTGTAAAGGGGACAGACAGGCTTACATTAAAGTCATTAATGTAGCATTGACCTGATGTGGCTTTTCTTTCATTTATTTTCATTGATGCAGAGAGAAAAGTAATTAGCTTTTTTAAAGTTTTAATCTGGAAACCTTGATGAAGTTTTTGCCGCTTTCCAACCTCAAAATTCTCCTCTCATTTGGCCACAATAAACCCGAACATTATTAATCAGAATTCTGTCCACTGCCTTTAAAAGGCTCACCGCAAATCACTTGCCTTAATAACAGCGCCGCGCTGGTGACGCACAAGTTCCTCTGCAAAGCAATCCAGGGGTAAGCCAGCCGACTTTAAGCAGCACCTCACAATTAGGTTCTTATAAAAAAAACTAAAAGCTTGTTTACAGAAACCGGAGATCAGAATTCCAACTTCTCTGGTTTCACATGTTTGTTATAATAATTAGGTTGGCAAGTACGCGAGCTTGAAAGTTGGGAGATCGTTTCGTTGTAGCGAATATTGTGGGAAACTGCACGCAGCCTTTAATATAGGTGGCGCCACTGTATTTAGGGCGTCGAAACGTGGTGTGTGCAAGCAAGAAATCACATCGGTACAGCGCCAGCGGCATGCTTGTACTCGACTTGCGTGTTCATTGTGTCGATTCACAGTGCTTGCGGAGCAGTTTGACTGGAACCTTGTGGTCGTATTGTGAAATGGGGTTTTAAAGCGAAGTAGAAAGGCAGGCAAATTCAAGCAGAAATTCTCGAATGCAGAAGTGTTCTGCAGTACCTAGGGTTTATTCGAATATTAAGAATGCTTAAACACACTAACCTAAACACCGTTAAACAAGGAAGTGTTTGGATAAATTTAAATCTAAACACTAATTTGTATAAAAAGACGACGCACATATTTGATAGAAAAAGCTTGCTCACGATACACAGTGACGTTGCTTCGCAAGCTTTGGACGAGTAGCGCACGCGAGGAGTTTAAATAAAAAAAAAATGGTACAGAGCCTGGATAGGAATTGTGTTCCTTTGGAAATTTTATCCAATCAAACATTTTTCTGTGAAATATGTTTGCCTTTAAAACACAATTTTTTGTGCGTAAAGTACAAAAGTTTAGGTTACCATACCATTCGCATGGCCGTTGAATAAAAAGTTTCACTGATAATATGCTTGTTTGGAAAAAGTGGGCCAGTGAAATCAAAATCTTGAAAAATAGTGCTGCTCTCTAAGTCTACGAGCTCACACAACAAAAGTGTCCCCATCAAAAAATGCATTCCTGTGCCCTTGCGTCAAAAACTTGAAATTTAAAGGAAATGCGTTGCAGACATTTTGACATTATTTGTGTAATAGTGATAAGAGCCACACAAAAAATAGGAGCCACAGAGCTGGCTACATAACTCGAACAAAAAATTTTCTTCAACTTTGACTGAAAACGATGAAAATCTAATCATTTCTCGCGAGAAACAGTGCAACTATTTTCGGGTCACACATATCCGTCATCTATAAGTATGTCGAAATGAACGGAAACGCAGTGTTGTATTCTGTTGATTGCAAGTGCCTTAATAAACATACTGATGTTTTTGAATTTGTGTTTCTTCTGTGCTACACCTCTTGCAGGCGAAGGCATGGACAGATTCCTAGGGAAATTCTCTTTTTTGGTGTTTGCTGCTGCAGTCGGTAAGATCGCTCATCGCGAAAGCTTACCTAATAATCAGCGGTTTGGCCTTCAAACATTTTTGAACACCTTATAATCAATCGTAGGCCTTCAAACATCAAAAAGTGGTTCATGCTAAGTGTGACGCCTAAGTGGATGGCTCCTTGTAATTTCATATGGTGGGTGAGGAAAGGGTCCTTAGGGTGTGAGGAAATGATGTATATCAACCTCCAGAATTTTTTCATGAAATTGTGAGCGCGTGCAGTTGGAATAAAAAAAGAGCGCATTTCGCGCAAGCAAACGACCACTGCAACAGACTCAGTCATTGTGGCAGGTTTATTAGAAGGCGCTTTTCATATATCTGAACTTGCGACTGCCACAGGGACAACAAATTGCAAACAAGGGCGTTGAACGAAGGACCCTGATTGATATGGCAGATGTCCATCTAAACAATTGATACACACTACATTCTAATCAATACTCTGAGCTTAGTGTTATGTAACAGCAGTTTAGGATTGCCAAATTTTCTTGATGCCAGAGTCACTATTTATTTGTCAGGTCTACAATTTATTAATTTACTAGTCTTTTGTTCAAATGGGCAAAAATGGCATTCTGAAAAGCATAGCGTTAACAACGTACTACGTCATCTTTCGAGTGTGCTTTTGATAACATGTACCATTGTTCTGCAGCCAAAACTGTGCCTTTTTTCGTGTAGTTTTTGTACTTGGATGATAACTATCTTTTCTGCATGGAACACGTATGAGCTGCACTAGCACGAAAGAAGCACTGTGTGAGCAAGCATTAAATGCCACGTTCCTACGCCTCAGTCATCGTTTCAGTCCTACTAAAAGCCTAGAATCTGGATAGCAAGACGTCTAGATTGCGTAAAACTACGTGAGGACGTGTCATGAAAATCGCTATTTCATGACGGCTGTTTTCTTCCGTGAGGTGTTGTGCCAGAAAACTTTCACTTTATCTGTGTGATTATAGTGGAGTGAGAGCATATATATATGTGTTCTTGCGAAGCAATCAGCTGGTATGAAAGTAACATACAGACGCACTAAGATGTTTCTAACAGAAAGAGCTTATGCATTCCTGTTGAAAAATATAGCAAATAAAGCGCATAGTTCAAAAAACCTAGGGGCATTCCCTTAATAATTTCAAACATTCTTGAATTAGAAGGTAATTATATTCAACTTTAAAGTGCTCATCTATCACCCTGAAAAATGATATCTCTATACCTAATCTGCTGTGCGAAGTCTTTTATTACAGTCCTTTTATTTGGAGTAATGCAGTGATGAAACAAGATGGGAGAAGGTAGGCAGGCTAACCAGAAAATAAGTCTGGATAACTATACTCTTATGGTTGAATGAACAAGTTGAATATCAAGGAAAGAAACGAAGGAACAAGGAGATGTGCTAGTAAGCAATCATTGGCATACGCGCACACTAATAAATTGTATTAGGGGAGTGATTGCCTTTTATATATATGTATTCTGTTTTTCAAGGACAATTAAAAAATCAGTTTTTTTGTGGTATCACGTTCTTAAACTTCCCCCATCGCAAATACACTCCCTCCAGCCCTCGATGGACGCTTGGTAATCTAGAAAGCTCTCACCACGACAAGCCATTTTGGCTTTTCCGCATGAGCAATTGGGGTTACGTGACCAACTTCAACGCACTTTACTTCCTAGGTATCTTTTGGTAACCCAGAAGAAGAGAGGATACATTGTACAGAAAGAAAGGTAGTCAGTCTAACTAGTCAAGGATAGCCAGGTTGCTACCCTACACTAGGATAAGAATTAAAATTGTGGAAGCAGGAGGAAAGAGAAACAAAGAAAGCACATCGCAAGACACACCTGCGCACACGAAATCATACGCAGCTCATAAAAAGAAACTGCATTGTCCTCCATAGAAGGCACAATCAACGAATCAAGTTTGTATGCCTTTGTTTATCCAGCGTCAATTAGACATAAAAATCACCGGCATTCTGGACATCACGCAGTAACTTATGCAAATAAATAAAGTTGCAAAATTTTAAAATAACATTGCGAGCGTAAGACTCTTTCAATACAACTGTGGCGTTTGAATTCACAACACCAATATATACAAGGGGTTTCTCAAGCATTCAACCTTATTCATCATAGCGCTTTATTTACACGTACCTACTATTACTAAATCAATTAATGTCTCTCTTCTCTTTCAATTTTCAGTGATTCTGGTACTTGCCGCCAACAAGGCTGAAGCCCTTCCTAGCGTAATATTTGAAACCATTCCCAAGATATTTGGACGAATTGAGAAACATGCAGAAAAGTGACACGCGAGCTACGCGGACACTACATCCACAAATTGCATTGGACCCTAGTGTTCCTAAATCTAATTGCAATGCGCCAATAGAGGTGATACTCTTGCATGAACAAATAAAATGAGGTCTTTTTGTCATAATTTTAAATGCGAGACATTGCTTTGCGCACTGCAAGCTTTCTACCTATCCTTCTATCTGTGTAGCCGCCTACGTCGGCTGCCTCTCAGATGGCCCAGGTTCACATTTTATTCGATTATGTGTTATCTTAATGTGAAGCATTTTTTCGTGCTTCAAGCAGTTTTGTCACTTATCTATCTATCTATTTATCTATCTATCTAATCTCTCTATTTATCTATCTATCTATTTATCTCTGTATCCATCTATCTATCTAATCTCTCTATTTATCTATCTATCTATTTATCTATCTATCCATCTATCTATCTATCTATCTATCTATCTATCTATCTATCTATCTATCTATCTATCTATCTTGTGACATGTTTTATTGACACTGGACATCGTGGAACCTCAATGAACGTTAAAGGTGGAGCGTCGAAGAGTGGCAGGTGTCAAGCAGCCAAAATCTGAGAAAGTGCAAGCTCGAGCCTTTGGCTGCTACTGACGCTGGTGCTGTCTTGCTTTCTCGCCTTTTTTTTATTGCATTGGCTCTCTGAGAAGAGGAGCCATCCTGGTCACTTAAGGCGTTGGTTGAATAGTCGGGTCGTAATAAGTCTTGATGCCAGATTTGTTGATGATTTCTCGGCCGCGACGACGCAAGTTGTGGCATAGCGTCTAGGGCTCGACCTCATAATTGACGGGAGAACTCTGAGAAAGAGTGCGGTAGCAGCTTGACAAGGGCCCATAACTTGGAAGACAGCAAATGAGGATTCAGTGAAACCCACAGCTAAATGAAGGCAACATTCTTGAAAGTCGCAGGAAGTCGGTAGCCGTGGTGCTTAAGCTCCTGGCGACCTTGGTCTTCGCTCGTAAAGGTACGAGCCAACTGTAGACAGTTTTCGGCGTAACTCGCAATGTCTGAAATCAGACTGTTTTGACAGGCATCAGGCATGTAAGAAAATATGGTGTCTAGCATGCATGATGGCTTGCGTTCGTATAGATGAAAGGAAGCTGAGAATCCTGCAATCGCTTGTGTGCTAGTGTTGTACGCCTACGTGACGTAAGGAAGGATGGCGTCCCAATTTGCTTGGTCAGGTGCGGCGTACATCGTCAGAATATCACTGAGAGTACGATTAAATTGTTCAGTTAGACCATTGGTTTTCAGATGATATGCGGTCATCTTGTGATGAACGATGTTGCTCTGAACGAGCAATGCTTCGATGGCTTCGGATAGGAAAACACGTCCTATGGCATTCAGAAGTGTGTAGGGAGTGCTGTGGCGTAGGACGAAGTTGCGCAACATTGAACACGCATCATTTCTGGCTGTGGGAAAAGCCGCCATTTCTGCATTACCCATGAAGTGGTACACGCCAACAAATATCCATCGGGTCGCCGAAGTGGAAGTGGTCGAGGCCAGCGGGCCGTGTAAATAAATGCCAACTCGGTTACATGGACACGCCGGGACACAAGAGAGGTTGAAGCGTACCGCCAGCTCATTGAAAGGGAGCCTTTTTTCGCTGACAGGCAGTACAAGTGCTGATATACTTGTACACATATTGATACATTCCGCTCCCACAGTATTCATTGCGCAAGTGGTTGTATACGTCTTGAGAACGCCAGCGTGGGCGTTTTGTGGGCTGTTGTGGAAAGCAGCCCACATTAGCGTGCACATGTGGTGAAGCATCAAAAGTAATCACCTCAGACCATCATGTGCGTAATTCCGCCAATAGAAGAGACCATATTGGTTGGCGAAATGGGGTGCTTGACGACGTAGAGTTCTGAAAGCCGGTTAAGCTGGTGGATCCGCCAGAAAGTAAAACAGGTGGCAAACCCACGCGACTTTGCGTTGTTTTACGCCGACTGGCGACAGGAAATGGACGGTGAAGCCATGGCGGATGCTAGAGGTTAACGGGAATGAGCGTCCGCGTCAGAGACTTTGTCAGAGACCGCGGCGTGTATACTCGCAGGTGGGTATAAATTATGATCATCAAACGCCACAAGAAGAAGAAAGAAGACTGCTGCTTGGAGCGAACGCATGCTACTTCAGTACTTCTAACAAACCGTATTCGTTCGAAGCAGTCCCTGGTCTCGATCGTCCTAATAATGATGCCGTGAACCAGGATACTACCTCCTCACCGGCAAAAAAAGTCAGCCTGCCACGGAGCAGCAGAGAGGAAAAAGGGGGAGCAGCAGAGGATCGACCTTGATCGAGCGACGATACCACGGTGGACAGTATACGAGCATCAGAACGAACGAATGACAAGTAAGCAGTCATTGCTAACCGCCTAAATATGAGCAAGGAAGTGATAACGTAGAAAATGAAAGCGCTTTGGTTTCAGATCACGCAAATGATAACGCATCCGAGCAGCAAATGAACGGAGCTAACCGGGAGCAGCTGCTTACAACAGAAGCACAGATTAAAGGAATAAGCGACAGTCTCAAGAGCGCAAATGAGCAAATAGAAACGTTTCTGACAGAAAACAATGTCGAAGCTGAATTCAAAAGCGTCATAGAGTACGACGTTAAATTAACGATGACCTTGTCTGCAATACAATTCAGAACTCGACAGCTTGCCAATTAGATTGAAACAATAGGACAAGACATGTGGTGCCATCAAGTACAGAACAAGAAGCAATGGAACTAGTTAAGCTACCAAAGCTTGAAATGGTTAAGTTTGGAGGAAAAACTTTAGAGTGGAATCGCTTTTGGGCTCAGTACGAGTCGGTAGTTCACCTGAGACCAAACATGAGCAAGGGACAAAAGTTCAATTACTTTTTTGCATCGGTAACCGGAAAAGCAGCGGCTGCTATTGAAGGACTTCAGTGCTCGGCAGAGGAAAATTATGACGACACAATCAAAATACTGCAAAAAACTTTCAGCAATCACGAACATTCAATTGAGATGCACATAAATGAGCTCTTGAGTTTGGAGAAATTGAGGTCTGCTCGAGATACCGATGACTTCAATAGGCAAGTACAGAGAGTGCAAATATATTGGCACTCAAGTCCCTAAATATGGAAATCAAGAGCTATGCGCTGATGTTGTGACCAGTAATAAAAAGAACAATTCCACCGGAATTATCAGTCGAGTTCAAGTAAAAGAGGCTATGAAAAACAGCTCAGATTAAGAAAATGGCGCGCAAAGCAACCCAACAGGAAAAGCGTGCGAGGAAAAGGTGGACAGGCTTATGTTATTCTTAAGAAAGCAAGCGGCTTCTCGTGAAGAAGCACAACGTGAACAAGAGAGGATAACTGCAAAATCAAGTTAGAACGGCCGACATATGCGCACAACTTCAAGATTATATAGCTCAGTGGACAGATTATGCTTAATCTGCAAGCAGAAAACACATGCAACCGAAAACGGCCGTCGTAGCATTCCAACGGAGGAAAAGAAAGCTATGCTTACCGAAAATAGAGCATGCTTCAGATGCACGTGACCGAACCACACTTCACGCATTTGTAAGGCCCAAGTAAAATGCAATGCAAGGGACGATATGCCACGTCAGTGTGTAGAACTGTGAGGCTGCAAGAAAGGGCAGAGCTAGTCTCAACAGTGCAAGCTGGAACGACGACGTCTACGCTACACGCAACCGAAAATATCAAGCATAAGTTTGTGCTTTTGCAGACGGCTGTAGCGCGCGTAGAAGGAGAAACATTGGGCCGACATTGCCGTTGGCTATTAGAGAGTGGATGTCACCGGTCATTTATTGAAGCAGGATCAGCAAAAGAAATAGGTGTGAAGGTGTTGCGGTGGTCAAACTAATGAACTAATAAAGGTCAAACTAATAAAGGTCAAACTAATGAACGTGGTGCAAGTGACTGTAGGATCAGGAGAAACAAGAACGACAACAGTGATTGAAGCGTTACAAGTCGACGTTATCTCGCGCAGTTGTATAGCCACTCCAAATCATAAACTCAGCAAGAAAATGAAACAGCTAAAGGTGCAAGTGACGGATCACAGGACAGAGACGACTGGAACAGATTCTGTAGGACTACTGATAAGCTCAGACTATTATTGGGAATTTTTTACTGGTAGAACTCGAAGAATCGTGGACAGACTAATGGCTTTAGAAACTATACTGAGATGGGTACTGCAAGGGGCTTCACAGCATAGTGAGACCAAACTAACACATAATCAAGCAGTCATGGTTCTGAAGGTTGAAGCTGCGGAGACAGAACTCCAGAAAGAGCTACAGCAGTTTTAGAGCCTGGAGTCAAAGGGGATCAAAAGACATAATTTGGATAACACAGGAAATGAAGTGGTAGAACAGTTCAAGTGCCAGATTTTACAACAAAACGGTCGCTATCAAGTCAGCTTGTCATGGAAACAGGACGTAAACTCGAAAAGCAACAAGGAAAATGCGATAAAAATACTACAGCAACTGACTAAAAGGCTGCAGAAAAATGAAGTCGTGCTGCATCGCTACGACAAAGATATATTAGAGTATATAGCATTAGGCGTCGCAAAGGAGGTCCAAGAGCCACCAGAACAGCCAAATGCACTTTGCTACTACACGCCACATTATGCGATCATTCGAGAAGACAGAGCCACAACAAAGGCTTGGGTAGTGTTCAACGACTTATCACATTTTCGAAAAGGCTATGTTTAAACGATAACCTAGAGGCAGGACCCAATTTTCATGAGGACATGCAATCGCTGCTCTTTATTTTTTGAAAAGAACAGGTGGCATTAGTAGGAGATGTAGAAAAGGCGTTTCTACAAATCTCTATACACGAAGAGGATAGAGAAGCAATGAGATTTCTGTGGTGGAAACATGATGCTGAGGGAAGGTAATGAATGAAGATCAAACATGGCGCATGACAAAAGTAACGTTCGGAACAACACCAAGGACGTATAAACTTGCAGCTACAGTTAAAAACCATTTGAAACAAGTGGAAGACAAGTTCCCTGGTACGATAAGGACACTGCAGAAAGCGATCTACGTGGATGATGTCATTATGGGAGCAGCAACGCTTGATGAAGCAGCCAAGTTGTACAAAGA